ACTAGGGAATCCTGCCGAAAGCAATCAGGTCCGCTCATAGATTTACGATTGAATAACTGACGTATATTTTACATTCGTGAATTACGACAGCGATGTTATTTGCACGATAATGACGGATATCCAGAGGCCGCGCTTGTGTGTACACGCGCTGTTCATTTAATTGATCTCAAACATTACGCATGTCTTCCGCCCGGCTCAGCATTTCATTCAATCGATTTCCCGCTCGTTGCGATTCTTTTCTCTATAAAAAGTACGATTTTCTGAATACCCATTATTATGCACTGCAAAATGGTTTAAACACGAATTGAAAAGCTCATCAAACCGCCAAAATTCGGAGATAATACTGACGGGCTCTCTTGCTCAGTAAATATGTTATTAACAATTACAGTTATCAATTTTTATCAGTATCACTATTTAGCGTTCTTAATTAAATTATTAATTATATCATTACTGCGTAAGTCCGTCGGTAACGACTCTCAAGTTTGTGTCAGTGATAATCGCCTTTGCATTATCGACACTCTCAGAATTCGCCATCTACTTCGACATTCCTTTAATGTGCGATTCTTGTTTTACAAAACAAGTACTAAGTTTTCGTTTTTCCGTAAAATAAAAAAAGCAATATTTACTTCCTCAGAATAACAGACGGGAAGCTGTTGTTACTTTCAGCAGTTTGCCCGCTTCACGAAAATTCCGCGGGAAACTTCTCGACGGGGAAGGAGAAGAGGGGAATTTACGCGAGAATTATGCCCGGACTATCTCGCGCTCCGACGCGAATTTTGACGCGCTTCATACGTCGCGCTCGCCGGAGCGACGGAGGCACGATTCGCAAGCGAGTTTATTCGCCGAAGAGCGCGATATTGCTACCGGATTTTTCGCGCTCTTCCGGATCCTTTTTTCTCGTCTGGAAACAACGAATTTCTCGCTTACCCTCCGCTATGCGCTGCGTAAGCTTAAAGGAAGAAACAACCACTTGCGACGCCAAGTTGTTTACGTCGCTCGGTGTTCGTTCGCAGCGGCGACAAAAAGAATCAATATGTCAGTCTTATGTAGAATTTATTAGCCGCAACATTGTCAGCTATATAGTCAACGAGGGGAAAGAAGAAGCCCCCCTTCTCCGGAGGAGTTCATCAACTCGCGCGCGGATCACCGTAGATCAATCAACCTCCACAATCCATCCGTCTTGTGTGGGCTCTTATTTGCGCCGGCTCTCGATCATGCCGATCGCCTTCCCTCCTTCTACCCTTCTTTCCCGCCTTCTAGCAGCCTTAGGTACCCCTAGCATCGTATGTACACGGAAAGAAAAAATTTTCTAATATATGGACAACTAAAAATATTAACTGCAGGAGCAAATTTTCTTGCTTTTATAGCAAAGTTATTTAGTTGTAATAGCTAAAACATTTGCTAATATATATATTAACTGCAGAAGCAAACTTTCTTGCTTTTATAGCAAAGTTATTTAGTTGTGATAGCTAAAATATTTGCTAATATATATATAT